GGGGGGGTCTCGTCTGTTGTGAAGCATCTTCAGTGTGTCCCGCCAAGCTGGCCGCTGACTCTGCCCTCGGGCTGGCCGGCGGGGAGGACCTGCCCCCCTCCGCTGAGCCAAGCATGCTGCTTCCTCGCAGAACTTGTACGAGAGCATCAAGAACGAGCCGTTCAAGATCCCGGAGGATGATGGCAACGACCTGACACACACGTTCTTCAACCCCGACCGCGAGGGCTGGCTCCTGAAGCTGGGTGAGTGGCGCCGGCGGGCGGGACACTCCCGGCCCTCAGCCCCCAGCCGCTCCCGCCAGTGCCTTCGCGAGGCCCGAGCAGATGCAGAAATGTTAAAAAGAGGCCGTTAGGCGAAGGCTGGGCTGGGTAGCTGGCTGCACGCCCCAGACTCGACGGCCATGGCTTTGAGTCACACCCCGTCCGAAGGAGGCCGACGGTCAGTGTCCACCACACACAGTGACGGCCGGGCTGCACGAACATCCCAGAACACCGCTCGCTCAGTGTCCAGACAGCCCAGCTTCCTGTGCGAGGAGCAGGCGCCTCTGCCTCCAGGAGCCGCGTGCCTCCCCGTGGTGTGGTGTGGCTGGTTTCCGACGCGTGGTTTAAATGTGCCTTCTTGTTTTCCTTCTGCCTGTGGCTCCCACCTTTCTGTTCTGTGACGGGCTGTCCCTGCTTGTTCTGCGTTAGGAGGTACGTACCCAATGGCTCCCGCCCTTCCCCAGCTGCTCATCCCTCTCTCGTCTCTCGCCCGTGGTGTGTGTGAAGCTCCAGTTTGTGGCTGCCATTCATCTGACCCATGTGGCCTTGGACTTGCTGGTGGATGTGACAGCCACGCCTGGGCTGGGCAGCAGCGGCCTGGCCCAAAGCGCATGGGGATGCCTGTGGGACGAGCCCGCCCGTCCTTCCCAGGCCTGAGCAGCAGCAGCAGGGCTCGGGCAGCTCCATTCCCGCCATCACCTCCCGTCATACTAACCCAGCGCAGTGCATGTCTGCACCTCCGGGGAGAGTCTGGATCATTTGAACGGCTTCCTAACCATTGACAAAGAAGTAGAATGGCTGTTCCATGTCCTGGGCAGTCTTAGGAATTACTAGGGTTTTTGCCTGGGGGATGGGCTGGGGTTTCCGCCTCACTGTGACGTTAGAGCCCGTGACAGCCGCGTATCGTTCACACTCGCTGAGAACAGGTGGTGAGATCCCGAAGCTCATGAGAATTCTGGGGATTGACTGACTTACCTACTTAACCTCACCTGAGGATATACTTACTGATTTTAGGGGGAGAGAGCAAGAAAGACGACATTGTGAGAGAGAAACATTGATTGTTTGCCTCCTGTACTTTCCTGGACCAGGAATCAAACCCACAGCCTTTTGGTGTACGGGACAACACTCCAACTAACTGAGCCACCCGGCCAGGGCATGGCTTTGTTTTTAATCAGGGGGGAGAAGACACAGGCAAGGGGACAGTGTGGCAGGCTTGGGGAGCAGGCTGCTGGTCTGCTGTTCTGACTTGGGGTCTTGCTCTCACTCTTCTTGGGCTCTGTCAAGGTTTGGAGAGTTCAGGATCTTTGCCTGAAAACCCAGAACTGTAGCCTTGCCCTTGAGTGACCTTCGAGATGCACCCGACCTTTAGACCGCGCTAGACTTGGGATCCTGAGGGACGCGCCCAAACACCAGCATTGCGCTTGGGCCCTCCCCTTCCTGCCTGGCCAGCAAGTGTCCCTCGAGGGACAGTGACACTGCGCGCCTGCCTGGCAGCGAGTGTGGCCGAGTGCCAGCAGGGACATAGCTGCCCCTGGAGATGACAAAAGGAATAAAATTAAGGCACAACAGGGCCTATTTTCCAACCTCTTCTCTAGTCGAGCAGATAAGCAGCCAGGATGACAGTGCTCAGCGGGGTTGTGGGAGCTGTGGAACACGGGGGCACTAGGGGCCTGATGCAGTGGCTGGGTGTGGCCTCAGCACAGGGACACTGGGTGGGCTTCTCCCACGCTCCCGCCACCACTGCGTTCAGGTGTCTGTGTGGAGACGTCGAGGCCTCCACACAGAAGCCACAACTCTAGTGATGGTGGTGCTATCCAAACCTTGAGCCTGCAGGCTAGGTGACAGCCGGAGCTGCCGTCCTCGAGGCCCCGCAGCCTCCCCACTCTCTGCAGAGCTGTTACTGCCCAGAGAGCAGGCGTCCCAGCAGCAGGCAGGCTGGTCTCTCCAGAGCCCCCGCCTTGCTGGCCACACCCACCCGACGCTTCTGGCCATTAGGGACAGCTGGTGGGTGGTGGTATCTGGGGGCCGAGGGGGCGGTCAGCCAGCCAGAAGCCAGTGCTAAGCTAAGTCAGGCCGGCCTGGGGTGGGCCCAGAGGCAGGCAGACGGGGTGGGCACGTGTGTTCTCCCTGCTCTCACTCAGGTAGGACCCTTGCTTAGCTGTTCCTCACCCTACATGGAGCCGTAGAACAGGCTGCCTTTCAAAGGCCCAGATGCTTAGAACCAGCAGCGTCAACTGTTGCTTCATGATTGTCAAGTAAATGCCTCCTAGTATCCTGGTTTTGAGAATGAACCAGTTGATAAGAACAGGAATGTGGGTTAGAGTTGACCTGTCACACAGAGAAAAGTACATGTTGCAGGGGTGTGTGTGCACATGTTGTGCCTGCGTATGTGTTGGGGGTGGGAGTAGGGGGGTGTCCATCCATCTCCTGCAGCTCAGCCAGAAATATGCTTGAGCAGAGCACATCGGTCCAAGTTCTGCTCAGCCCCAGCCCCTGCTGTACCTGCCTGCATAGCTAAAAGGCTGCCCGGGGCTGTGCTTGGGGGCCAACCCAGATGCCACACATCAATCTAGGTGTCCACAGCCGCCGGCTCCCTCGGCCTTAAGAACTTGTCCAGAGATGGGGCTCCCCCCACATGCACTGAATTCGGGAGCAAGGGGCAGGAGCCCGGGTGCAAGGAACTGAGAGGCCTTGCTGGCAGACCTGCTTCCCCTGGCAGCTGGTGATGGATGCAGGGCCGGTGGTGGGCAAGGGCCTGCGGGCGAGCAGAACACCAGGACAGCCATCTAACATTCCAATGTCAAGAGCATGGAGGAGGGCAGGCACAGGACAGATGGACAGGCACTGGGCAGACAGCGTGGGGCTCCTGGGACAGTTCTCTAAGAACGTGCTTGTGGGGCTCAGCAAAAGGGAGGTTCTGCGAGGAGCTTTGAGGTTCTGGTGAGGGGAACCGGAGGCCCTGGAGGCCGTCTCGGGGGTTTGGGGCTTCAGGCATTGATACAGGATCAGTTTATTTTTTAACAGGACAGCTCTGGCTGCTGTTTGGGGGCCAGTGGTGGGATGGGCCCCAGGGGCAGGAGAGTGGCCGCCTGGCCCAGGGCCAGTGCAGATGGAGAAAGGCCCTCAGCAATTTGGGGCTCAGGGTTGTACCTAGGAGAACTGGTGCTGTGCCCTGGCCTGAAGGACTTTGAGTTGAGGCAGAGCTGCCCCGACGATCTCCTGGGACCCCTCTGTGTAAAGTTGGACCGTGGGGGGTGGGGAACGAGGCCTGAGCTGAGACCAGGGCTGCAGGTGCACAGGTCTGCTGCTCCTTGTGTTCGTGAAAGGGACCAATAAGAGGCCGCACCCGCAGGGAGGCAGAGGCCGCCAGTGGGGCGCTGAGTGGCCTGAGGAGGCTGCGTGCAGGAGTCTGGGGAACGGGAGCCCCGCCCAGGGTCAGAGGATATTGGGGGAGGTCCTGTGGCTCTGGACTGAGCAGCAGCTCGAGCAAAGGCCCTGGAGCACAGATGCGGGAGCTGGGGGTAGGCTTGAGGTCTGAGGTCCTTGGAGGGGGCAGCAGGAATCTTGGGTCAGCATGTGGTCAGACCCTTTGGACAGGGACTGGTAATGGGGAGGGGAGTGGGGCAGAGCCTGTCAGGGAGTAGGGGACACCCAGCCGGACCTTCCTGCACAGTGGCCTAGGCTCCCTCCTCAAGGCCTGCAGCCTGGCCTCAGGAGGACAGGTGGTCTGACCCATGAGGCAGCTGTGAGGGGTCCCAGAGGGGTCTCCAGGGGTCTGTCCACTGACACCAAATTCCAACAGTCGGGGCTCCCTCCCTCCTGAAGCTGTCTCCCCCGACCGGACCTCTGCAAACATCAGAGGCCAGGGAGTCCTCGGGCCTCAGCCCTAGGATGACCTGGGTGCTAGCAAGTGTCCCCCCTTGTCCCCTGTGACATGCACGGCCTCTGTACAGATGGCAGTCGCCCGCTGACATGTATGCTGTAGAGAATAGTGGGCCAGCTCACCCGGAATGTCACCATTGTCACCATGGGAGTTATGGATCAGGAAGAGCCTCTTCCTACCTGTGCCCATGTGTCCCTCCAGTTCATTCCCAAGCCTGTGTTTTCCTCTTGTTTTGTAAACTTTGTCTGAAGCAGGGGCTAGAATTTGAAGTCAGTTAGTCTCAACTGAGTATTTAAGGGTAAAAGACTTTCTTTCCTGTACTGAAGAGAGTAGATACAGATGAGCTGTGTGCGCGTGTGTGTTTACATGTGTGTCCCAGATCTTGTTAAGAGATTAATTCAATCTAATAATTCCCTGGGCCAGGGAGTAATTGATTTTGATGGATCCCAGGGCCGCCCAGAGTGCTCAGTAATGTGATCAGGGCCCTGACGTAATGGGATTAGGTCCTGGACAGACAGGCGGCACCGACTCCATCCGGCTGTCATTTCCACGTGGGGAAATTAAGCCCATTCATCATGACTAACTTTTCTAGGGGGCACGATGGGGAAGCGATTGAGGTGTCTGGGTGCCCCAGGTGGCTGAGAGGGAGGCGCAGGCCCAGGTGGGGGTGCATGCGGGTCCTAGCAGAGCGCCATGCCACGTGTCCACTAGTCGCCAGGTGGGCAAGAGCGGCCCGAATGGCCCAGGCCACACAGCTCGTCCGGGACCTGGCTGCGTGCTGGGTGGACAGTTGGGCATTTTCATGAGGGAGGAAACTTAAAGCCAAGCTCGGCTCCTGGTGGCCTGAGAACAGTGATTTGTCCAGGTCCGGGCCCCGCCCTGTGGGCCCAGGCTCCCGCCTGCACTGGCTCTCACTCACGTGGTCCTTCTGCCTCCAGGGGGGCGCGTGAAGACCTGGAAACGGCGGTGGTTCATCCTGACCGACAACTGCCTCTATTACTTCGAATATACGACGGTAAGTGAGGGCGGTCGCCTGGTCCCCTCGGTGTCAGGGGCCCCTCGGGCAGCGGCTGGCTTGAGGCTGGCTGTGCTCTCTTCTCTCGCAGGACAAGGAGCCCAGGGGGATCATCCCACTGGAGAACCTTAGCATCAGGGAGGTGGAAGACCCACGGAAACCCGTAAGCTGCCTTTCTCTTCCCAGCTCAGGGACTCCCGCGCTGTGCCCCCCCCCCCCC